GTCACCCGACTGGCATGACATTAAGCTCCAGTGAGCTGACATAATAACCCGACCAAACATAATAAAAGAAAAGATAAAATTTAGAAAGAAGTAAAATCAATACATATTCTTTGTTGATTCGGTTTTGAGATAGTTATTATCATACTACGATACAAAAATAGAGAAATTCAATATGTATCTCGTGGGTGTATCGCAATTGATAATCGTAATATTCATTTTTGTATCGGCCGATTCGATACGTAGATACGAACGATACGCACGATACACTGCTCCATTGTAAAATTCTTTTAGTATAATCCTATTGTTTCCAATTAACATTTTATTTCTTCTTTGGATGGTTTTATTTGCCAGATTTAAAACTACTATGCTATAATTCCCTCTCTTTAATGAACAAAATTAAAAAAAAAATTCTTAATCATCATATCAAAATAAATATCGCGATCTTTCCTTTATAGGATTTTCAAATGAAATCTAAAAAGTATAAAGGGTCATGACTTTTTAACTGATTTTAAACAAATTAAATAGCATCATCATGTTAAAAGAAAAGTGGAATTATGATGCTTTTACTATTACTTTTCTTTCTGTAGTAGACATCTCTCTCTCTCTCTCTCTCTCTCTCTCTCTCTCTCTATATATATATATATATATATATGATATTATTTCGTATTTGCCCTATTATCAATATAAGTTTGAATTTTTTAGATACAATAGATTTTATATTGGTATAGTAATTGGCGGAAAATTTGGTCTTATTTTCCATTAGTATTAATCCATGCACATTGGTTCAAATGTATTTTTTAAACTAAGCATATGTTACCTTGGATCAGAATAATATACTTATAATAAGAACTAGATTCTGGACCCGTGCATTCGCACAGGTTTGACCAAAAATTTTAAAATAATTCACATAATTAGAATAGACAAATTCAATTTTAGAAAAAAGGACATTAATCTCTAATTCATAAAAGAAAATTAGCACTTTCTTGATTTATAAAATTATTATCATGGAAACGGAGCAAGAACTATACATAATATCTATGTTAAATATTGTTGTCATGAGTTCTATAAGACAACAGAAGGGAAAAAAAGAAGTGCAGTAAAATTTCTCTCTCCAAGACTCATGCAGCATCGTTGGAAAACTTGCCAAACAACCTAAAAGATTCTCTTTAATGTGATAAACTATCTTGAGGATCATCCAGGCATTTCAGAGTTTCAATTGTCCCAAGTTCATCCAGGCATTAAGGAGGTATTTTTGCTCCTCTCCAAAAGTGGAATTGCTATGAAATTTTCTTCTTAACTTCCGAACATCCCCTGAACAAAAACAGCCTTCAGATACAACCAATTTGCATCACTTTTGAGATAGACTTTAGGGTCTTGAAACTATTATCTCCCATTAATTATTCTACTTTTGAAGCAAAACCTCGAAGGAGTGGAAGCACTAAAGGATGAAAATCAAAACTCACAACATCTTCCATTGCAGAAGCTTAATTCACAGCAACTTGTACAAAGGAAAACCATGAATTGATACTCCAAAAAAGAATAAAAATGGATCCAACTTTTAAAAAAATCACGGCAAGTTACCAAAAAATTAAAAAATCACAACTTCTTCCCCTAAGAATCAGATTAATTAATTCATGGTAATTTTGAAAAAGATCCAGAAACAAAAACATCACAAACAGTACTATTCAAGGAACGATAAATTATTAAGAGAAGTTTTCTTTTTGTACCTTGATAAGGTTGATAGAATCTATCAATTTTTTCCATAGCTATTGTTGGATTTGTCTTCTCCAACAATTCAGGACCTTACAAATTTTGTTCCAGCAAAGGAATTGAATTTGTTTTGCCAGAGTTTATGACGTCTCTCCGTTATGCTATAGTTCGGGTACCAGGTCAGTGCCATTGCTGATTATCCATATCGGTTAGATCTGAATTGAAGAGAACGGTTGGACTTAGATTTTCTTTCGGAACAACTAAAATATTAGATGTTACACTAAAAAAATCTTAATACAAAGAGCCACAAAAAGAAAAGAAAATTAATTGGAACTAACCTCGTCGATGCTGATTGTTGTCCAAGGTCGCCACTTCCAACCAATCGAAGAAGAAGAATGAACGGGTAAACCATAACGTATTTACATACTGAGAAACTTTTGCAACTATGTTTTAGAACTTAAACCCAAAACAAAGATTGTTTGAGAAAAAAAATAAATCCAATTCGAAAAGTCAAAGCAAATAGATTTAATTTGCTGGGATTTTAAGATACATGAATGAAGAATTTGAATTTGAGACATGGGGAGATTGATGGTTTTTTTTTTTTTTTTTGAAAAAAGATGAAGAGTTACTAAACGAAGTGGTTCTGGTTTTGCGTGTCTAAAATTTAGGGGAGATATTGATGATAGTTTTTTTCCCCCCTAAAGACGTTTGTTCTTGGGACAAATTTTAAAGACACCATGACACTTGGAATTTTAAGGACACTATTCTGATACTTCTATTTTTTTTTTACGTTTAAGAAATTAATTTTATTTTGGGTAATGGTTTTATAATTTTGACAAACTTTTTTTGATAGTTTGACATTTGGAATTTTGGGTTGAAATTCAAGGATAATTTGACACTTGGAATTTTGGATTAAAAATAGTTTTTGCTATAATGGAGTTTATATAGATTAAACATACAAAAAAAATGATAATGGCTTAAATTATCTAAATTTTAACTCCCAGATTAGTAATTTTATAAGTAATATTTATATATTGTACAATGTACATATAAAAAAATGCTAATTAATTTAACTATTATATATAATATATTTACTTTATAATATATCTTACGATACGATACGAAATACGATACCATACACAAATTGAAAAACTAGAATTTCGATACACGATACGTATTTCGATTCGATAACGTAACTACTTCTGATAGAGACTATTAGATTTATGCCGTCTGATTTTTCTTATCTATTATATAAATTCTTCCCAGGTCCTTATATATTTTGAAAAATCCGAAACCACCCATGAGTATGTGACAACGTTTTCTGAGTGTTTCAGCTGTTAATTAATTATTTTTTAGGTTATTACACCACATATCACATCAAATTATCCCGTCCCTAGAATAATTTGTCACCAAATCTACTATGTTCCTCTATGATTCAAGTTCCGAAAACAGCGGTTGATGCCAGATTTTCCAAGAAGTGGTTGTCATGCTCAAATTAAATTTTCAGCTAGAATACAATTCCGTTTTCCAATTCGTTCCTACACTATTGTGGAAAATAAAAATGAGGGACCAGTTTAACTAAACTTAGAAATCTAGAGGTTGCCTAAAGGGCAAAAAAGTTGTCAAACCTCCTCCGCGGAAAATATTTTGTGAAAAATGAACATGATTTGTTAGACAAAAGATTTTTCATGATATTTTGTGTTTTGCTCGGACATTAATAGATGATTGATATGCTTAATCAGTATGCAATAAACAGGCAACTTTTCAGTGAGACTCTGATTTCATATGACATACATGTCAATCGTTTAATTAGTGTTATTATAATTTTAATACAAAAAGTCACAGAAAATCGATAACTCTTTTTATTATTATTATAAATTAGATAGCTCCAGAGAAAATTTATAACCATCCCCATCAGGTGCTCATTTGTCAAGATAACATGAGTGTTGTCCAAATCAAATTTTAGTCTTTTAGAAATGTAATGCAAGAAGTATTAGTTGATACGCAGCACTTCAACTTTTAGTCTTTTACTCATCGCATCTAATTTATTGGGCTGCATCTTCTTCATGTCAACTCCATTTCTATTTTGTCCCATTAATTGTAACCAAATTACGCGGTAATGATAAATATATTTTCAATACTTCTTCGGATTTCGAAAAAAATCGACAGTGTTACAAGTTCGTTAGAAAGAAGATTCCCAGTTTATAGTACTTGAAGTAAAATGTAATACATTAAAATATACCAATAAATTTATTTAATCTATACTAAATATTTTAATTTTTGTAAAAAATTAGTTTTAGTTAAATAATTTTATTCCTTAAAAAAAATAAATCATATTATTAAAAATTTTAATATATTTATGTAAATCAACAATGAGTTACGAATGTGTAACTATAAATTTTTACAGTAGAGTTTAAAAATAAATATTTTCTTTAAAAGATCATATAGTATATTTTTACAGTTAAGAAAAATAATAAAAATAAATAGAAAAAAATAAATAAATAACAAAAAGAGACCATTTTGTTATTTAGACAAATTTTTGGGGTCACTTTTATGATTTTTAAAACTGTTAGGGTATTTTTTAATTAAAACTTTAGTTTTAACGGAATTTTAGCAAATTGGACACAATCCTCTAAGGTTTGGATAACTTAGGATAATATTAGCTAATCAAAAAAAAATAAGGTAAAATTTTTGGTAAATAGGCCAATTTTTCCGAAAAAGAAGATGCATGTACTAGTACTTGTAATATTGAGTACTGTACACAAGATTTTTCCGGTTTGAAATTATCAATAGAATCTCTTTGATGGATTGCGTTTGCAAAGGTTACGATTTTGATCATCATTGATGTGAAAATTTTTAGTAATGAGTTCATAGTTTATGGAGGGCGGAGGCAGAAAGAGAGAGAAAAAGCCAGCAAATTAAGATCATACAAGTGTCAGATCCAGTTTTCATCATAAAATTAAGAATGTTTGAAATGACAATTTCTATTCACGAGTTGACGAAAATGAGAGGAAACTCAACGACAACCAGTACCTCACGCTAATTAACTTCTGAATTAACCAAAGTTAAAGCTTTTCAGTAAATTAAATAAAAAACAGAAGCCTAAACCAATCTACGAAAGTCAACTAACAATTTCATACAATGCATTCCTTATTGTCACAAGCACCGAAATTTTCAATTGAAAGATTTCCAAACAAAATATCAAAGTTTTCTTCATCATTGTAGCAGTGTTCGCTTAAATTAATTGGAAGCTAGTGCCCTAACTTCCTATAATTTATATAAAGCTATAGCTACTTGTACATTTCAATGACCCCAAAAGTACCAACACGAATTTTGGATCTTATGCCTTTGAATCCCGCACCGATGGCCAATGCTTCAAAATCTGCTTCTGATCGCTCTTTTCCTCCGATTATCATCATGACAGCGTCAATCTGGTATACACTCCTTGAATTTGTATTGGTGTCAGGATTCGAGGGCAAGATGAATTCAAAAACAATCACTTTTCCATTATCCGGTATAGCTTTGAAACAGTTTTTCAGTATCGTCAAACACTCACTGTCACTCCAATCATGAAGTGTTCTCTGTTTAAAATAATAATAATAATAACAAAGTCAATCAAGTAAACCAATATGTGAATTAATCGTGATGTGTTGACCCAAGAAAATATGCATGCTCTTTGCAACTCAAGAATGATTTTCACGTTTTCATTTTTAATACAAATGGTTGTAAAAGTAAAAATTCAAATAAAACTATCATTTTAAGACAGAGAGATTAAACAGTATGTATATTGACCCTTACACCTTCATAGTAAGATTACATTCAAGAGAATAGCATCTCCCTTTGGCACACTTTCAAACATGTCTCCCTCAATGTGCGTCACTCCTACATATACATATGTATATATCAGACTTTTTTATTATTAAAACGTATTTCTAAGTGTCACAAAAAGCAAGCGCACTTTGTTTGATTTTTCTAGTACTATACATGCAGTAGAACTTTTCTTTTCCCCTATAAAATAAAGATTTCATTTACTTAGATTGCGTGTATGTGGATAAGGAAAACTTCATGATATACTCAATGGCCTTTTGCTTTGGATCTCGTGTAAAACTGAAAAACCAAGAAGTTTGTAGATCAATTAGAGCAAGATCATGTACATACGTACCAGGATATGAGGGTGCATTTTTGACAACATGTGGTAGGTCGAAATTAATGCCTTTTATCGAAGGATATTTCGAGGTAATGGAATGAAGAGTTGTTCCAAGCCCGCCACCGACATCAACAAGGGTTTCAATGTCATCGAAACCCTTATACTCCTCAAGTAGAAGCTCCATTGTGATTTTTGTTCGACCAGCCATTCCCTTATTGGCCAATTCATTAAACCTAGCATCCTTACCAGCATATTCAAAAAGAGACATCCCATATAATCTATTTGCAGGAGTTCCTCCTTCAAGAATGCAATTTCCCAATTCGTACCTAATTTAAAAATACCAAGCAGCATGTTAATTGTGTGGCAAACAAAATAGAATTCTTATGATAATTGGAATGAGATGTTATGCTTCTTCAATCTCATAATGATCTAATGCGCTACAAATAATCATGTGTGAAAAATACCAAAAAAAAAAAAGAACAAAACAAGCAAAGAAATTACAAAGTCAACAGGTAACATTACAAGACTATTATTATCATACTATTTCATTGATCAACTTACCAATTGTCAAGCGTAACCCTGTCCTGTAGCAATTCAACCATATTCCCAATTGAGTTTCCCTCTTCATTAGGCAAGAAAAACTCGCCAACCGGAGATAACCCATAAACTCTTTCGTACCGAACCCCACCGCCGCTGGCGGCCCCGCCGGCAGAAGAAGCAACCTCAACAACATCGTAAGTGAAGACAGAATAGCTACTCAGCAGGCAAAGCATTCTATCAATGATAGAAGAGGCTTCTGGGTTCTTCGATTGAAGTTTGGAAGCGATTTCCAAGGCTGATAATTTATTTTTCTCAGGCGCAGCATCGGCAATGATTTCGAACAATTTCAGCTTCACGGCAGTGTACAAAACCATAGGCAATGCCGCGGAGGTGACAAGTTGGAATGCTTGAGAGAAGTTTTGGGCTTTTTCACTAGCATCATTTTTGGCTTCTTCTTGGGAATTTAGGACTTGGGTTTTGGCTGATTTCTCCATAGAGATACAAGAAAGAAAGTATTAAAAAAAAAAAAGTTGATTTCCAGATTTGTGCGGAGGCTGAAATTTTTATTCTCTTTTTATACTAGTACTAGTCTTATCTTGGTTATTATGATAGTAGTTGTTAATATGGTACGATATTCAATGCTATTGAATTCGTTTGAAATATTTTCCAGATTCTAATACAATTAATCTCCTCCTTTGTATTTTGGATGTCTCATCTCACTGGCATGCAAAAAATGGTAAAATCAGATTCGTTGAATGTTTTCGTTACATAAACGCCGGGAATCCTCTTTTCTAGTTGCTTAATTTGGGGGTTTGTAATATATATTAATGTTTTGAAAAAAAAAAAACTCAAAGGAATGTTCTTTTGTGAAATTGGATTGATTATCAAGATTTCCCACAGCTAGCTTTATTTCGACTTATTTCTTTTTATGAATTATTATAAATGCACTCAAGGATCTGCGTATCTCTATGTGATTCTTTAGGTTGATTGAGTATTTAATGAACTTGCCGTAGTTGTTTTAATCTTTCAATCATCTTGTATATATACTAGTTTAAAATTTTACTTATGTGAAATTGTTAACTTAAACGTTAGTAATCTTTTTAAAAAAAATAAAAAAAACTTTGATAATTAATCCGTTTTTGATGGCACTCTTGACGCAATAAAGCGAGAAGCGAAATTAAATTAAGAAGATAAAAGAGCATTAGTGACGGGTTTGTCGAGACCCGCAAAAATTAATTTGAATTCCAAATCGACTAAAAATTTATTTGTAGAAATAGTGGAATCAGATCGAATCCCAAGCGGGCCAACTTTCAACTCTTAGTTTTATAAAAATAGCAAAATAGGGGGATTTTTCTTTTCAATGAAATAAAACTGGCAAAATAAAATAAATAAAACTTGAGAAAATTGTAATAGAAAAACTTTGGTTCAAGTAGTGAATTCAATTACATTATAGATCATTGACTAAAAAAAATTATTTTTCTACGACTCAAGCATTCAACCGTAGACTTAATAGGATAGCCGTAAAAAGACTTATATTATCAAAAAAATATTTGACCAAACCCAGCACCTAAGCAAAACTTAGAATAATTTAATTGGGCACGTATAGCATTCTACATTAAATTATAGTAGTACTAAAAAATTTGAAAATTTAGTTGAACCGAAAACTAAAATAATTGAGATAGCTGCAATTAAAAAATTTTTGTCCTATTGATTCCCTAATTAGACTAATCATGCACATTCAACGTGTCACTACTAACATGCATAATCTGCTAACGTGCTACTTAGTGCCAAATGTTTAAGACGATAACGCAGCATAAACAATTTGATAGCAGTAGGAAGAAAATACTTGATTAAATTGTCAGATTAATCAAGTATCAACTCTCATAAAAAGAAATCAAAATCAATAGATACTTAAATTAAAAGTAAAAAATAAAATAAAGTGAAACTTGTAGTCTCATATATCATATAAATGAATAAATCCTTGAACCAGATTAAAAAAACTAGCCACTCATTGTGACTAGAAACATTTTGAAATGTTGGAAAAAATGAAAAATAAAATAAAACTAAAGCTTAAGAAAATTTGGCAAAAATGGAGAAACTAATAGCAGCCAAAATGCTTAGCTACGGGCTGGGGTGTTTCTAAGGGCTAATAGTGCTAGTCTATTTATAGTAATGCTAGCCAACTAAAATTCCAAGGAAGTAGGAAACAAATATATAACTCAATCTCATCCCTAGTTGCTCTCCGTAATCTTCTAAGTTGTTCCATGGTTTTTGAGATTTTTCTAAATCAGTCAAAAATCTTATTGTTTCCGTTTTGGATTTGGTAAAAGAAAATCTTCAAATCAATATCTCTGCATAATAATTCTGCCTCATTTTCTTTTGGTAAAATCTTTTAATCTTTCAATTCCACAAACAGCCAATAAAAATCCAAATTGTCCATTTCACCACTTTACTACCTAGCACAAAATAATAATAAAATCCATTAATATCTTCGAAAACATAATAAAAAATGACTATAAACATTATAACCAAATGGATTTTATTATGACTATCAAATTCCCCCACACCAAAATTATGCTTGCGCTTAAGTATACTGAAATCTTAAAAACTCAAAGCAATTCAGTATTTTGGAAAATTTTTGCAGTAAGCAACTTTCTGTAAAACGAGTAACCAATTTACCAATAATCATTTGGAAAACATGTGCACCCAATTCTAATAGCATTGTCAGAATGTACCATACTTGAATGCCTCACAAAGATTCACTCTATGCACTCAAATAGAAAGGGATATTTATAAGTAAGCACTCAATCATAAATATAGCATGCGTTCCATAGGTTTGTCATGTATCAAATCCTCTTAGCACTGAATGGCCAATCATGCAATATCAAAAGGGTCTTTCATATGATTGTAACGGGGCTACGGAATTTCAAAGGGTAGCACAAATATGGATAAGTAGGCTAAGTTACCAACAATATGTAGATCACATACTTAATTCTCACCATCATTCCAGATAACCCATACGATGGCAACAGTGACACATCTATTAGAATCCGAATCCCAACCTACTAAAGAGGAGTATAAGAAAAAACCATAAGAAACTAAGACTGTTGACTTCAGCTCATGAAGTTAAGGTGTTCAAAGAGATATTCAAACATTTTTTAAACACCCAAATCCCTTTATTTTTATTTTTATTTTTATTTTTTCTCTTCTTTTTTTTTCAGCTTCTCAAAAAAGAAACTAAGTTGAATCATAACTGAATGCACGTAAAACAGAACATTAGTGCCTTTTTTCTTTTCTTTTTTTCAACGTTTTACTTCTCTCTCTCTTTTTTTTTTTTTGATCTTCTTCTTTTTTCGGCATTGTCCTGACTTTTAGGATGTACAGAGCTAAAATATTATTAGACTTAAAACAAGAATACATACCCTATCACACTATACCTACCATACCAATATTGCCACTGCACAACCATTTTCCACAAACCAAAATCAAGCAATGATCATACATACTCCGAACAACATCTGAAAAGATACCTAAAAAGTAGACTTGAGATTATATTGGTGGAGCTCGAAAATAGGCCCAGGCTTGAAATAGTTACTAGGGGTAAACAATTAAGGTAGAGATTTTGCGATATCTAAACTTGGCGAAACCTAAGTGCCCTTATCATTTATTGCATAAATTCACCAATGTAGTTATGAAATATATGACATGAGCAAAACAATGTAATAACACACTATGAACGATACACTCGGAAACTAAGCAAGTGTGCTCTTTGGCTATGGAAACTCATGGAAAAGGGTAAATTTGCATCTAGTCTGGTACACTCTTAACCATTAAAACCAATGGGATACACAAAAACATTTTGGCCCAAAATCGTTCGAAAATTTTGACAGGTTAGCACATAAGGAGAGCCAAAATTTTTGAAAAAAATTGGGATTTTTTGACAGAAAAACCAATGCAGGGGTTTATGAGAATATTTAGTAACAATAAAACCCTCCCCCACACCTAATTTTTATATTGTCCTCAATGTAAAACAATGCCTTTGCACAATAAGAAGTAAACAAGGAGTTTGGAACAACATCTTTTAGTGCAAAATAGAAAAAATGCAGAGCTTGAAAAAGATAGAAAACATAGTAGCACTTAGACATGCAAATTTTCTAGTCAAACATCATTTAACTTTATAAAGAACCAACTCAACTACTTAGAAAAATAACCAACAAAGCAATCAATAAATTAATAATAACTGCATAAAAATTGAGTTTTAAACTCCCTGAAAAATTTCTCTAAAGAATTGGGGTTGAACCCAAAAATTATCAACATGGTTCTAGCAATTGCCAATGACAGTAAAGAGTAGCTGCAATTGCATCATGAGAGGATATGTCCTCCCGAAAACAAAAAGGAAAAGAAACAAATAAACAAAGAAAAGGAAAATGATAAATAAAATTTTTTTTTTTCGATTTGTTTCTCTTTTTTTAATGACAAATTGAAAACAAACGAAACCATACAAAAATCAAATCATATGAAAATGAAAGAAAGTTTAAACTTGGGTTGTCTCCCCAAAGCGCAATTGGTTTAAGTCGTTATGCTCGACATCTTGCTCAACCTGATTAACCTATACCAATCAATTGAACATCATTAGCACAAGAAGAATGTAGAGTATTAGAAAATTTTAATGCTTTAGAAACACTAAATTCTACCATATCCCCATCACATTCCACAGATATAATATAATGCCTTTATCTACATTAATTTTAGTTTTTGTAGCTTTCATAAATGGCATTCCTAACAAAATTGGAACTGAATTTGCATGACTATTCTCCATTTTTACGATATAAAAATTTGGAAGTTGAATAACCACATTTGTTTCTTTTAGTGGTCTCAAATTCAAGGCATTATATAGGAAAAATCACATCACATTAATAGATGCTCCTAAATCTATCATACCAAATTCAATTTTGTTATCACCAATAATGCATGAAATTGTAAACGTACCTGGATTAGAGCATTTTTCTAGTAATTTTCTTTGTATGATAGAAGAAACATTTTCATTTACCACTACATTGCCCTTATCTTTTAATTTCTTTTTCTTAGTGCACCATTGTTTCAGAAACTTTGCATACTTGAGAATCTCCTTAATAGCTTCCAACAATGGAATGTTGATCATCATCTTTTTGAAGGTCTTCAACGTCCCTTCTTCAAATTCGGGTTTTTTATCTTCCATCAACCTACTAGGAAATGGAGGAACATGTTTATAATAAGTATTAAACCATGAAGGTTTTAGTTTTATCTTAGCTGAATTTTTGGGAGATTCTTTGTTGATTTCTTCCATTTCTTTCTTCTCCACCTCTTTCAGTGATGAAGGTAGACTTGCTTGGATCTCTTTCCCACTTCTTAACATCATTGCGCAAACATTCTCTTTGGGATTTATGACCGTTTGTGAGGGTAACTTTCTAGTATTTTGAGCTTCCAATCTACTCACACTGTTGGCAAGTTGGCT